GCCATATATTGCCTAAATGCTATAAAAAAATTAATAAATTTTTGAGACTTTATATTTTCTATATTGTTATTTTCTTAATTTTTTATCAGTGAGTTTGGGCCGGTCATTGTGAAAGTGACACCTACGTGCATTTTTGAACCACCCTTTGAAATTTATGCAAAATTTGTTATCCTCCTTACTTATTTAGAATCAATTCAGCCCCCTCTTTTTGTGGATAATTCTCAATTTAGGATATTTGAACCCCAGTAAAATATGTAATTATAATATTTCCATCTGCAAAAATTGATACCCTATTTTGAGTTAATACAAAAATTGAATCTCCTTTTACATTTACAGAAAAAAACTTGTAAAATCCTTATACATTTTGACCAACCCTTAACCTAGATAAAAATTATATATAAGTTACATATTACAGATGATTTTTATTCGACTAGATACCAATAATGCTGCACTTGATAAAAAGCACCTTTTCGGATTATCACAATCTTTTCAATATTGATTGATATTGAAACACTGAAAAACCAAATAGACATACTAAAGGCAATAAAGAGCATTAGGCACCGAAAATCTCATAAATATGACAAGCCAAAACTAGTTAAAAAGTATAATTAATTAGTGGAAACATCTCAGGAAGTTTACGTTGAAACTATAAAAATAAGGTCAATTTTACTTTCTTTGGTTAAATAACAATATTAATATAAAAAAATGGGACCCTAGAAAATCTAGACAAATTTATCCACAATTGCATTTTTGAAATTTGTCAATGCCTAACAAACAAATACAATTCTGTTACTCAGTGACAGTTTAATGTTTGGTAATTCAGACTTAAGAATTTTGAAACGTTTGGCTAATCCTATTACACATTCTATATTGATACGCTTAGATGCAACACGCCTATCCCTCACAATTTCTTCTGGCTCTAGTTGTGATTTTCCTTTCAGCATTGTAGGCGTATTAACATAGACATCATTGTTTGCAAAGAGGTCTTGAACCATAATGCGTCGATCCGCCATAATATTATCCCCAGATTCAAACCTGGTATTATCTAAAAGACTTGAGTCTTCAATTATCTGACTGTCACTGGTAGACCCCCCATAGCAGTCTGAAATATACGATATAGTACCTCTTGGGGTACACCCAACCATAGTTTTCACAGTATTTTTGTGTTTGTAGGAAGACCAAGTCACACTCTGAATGTTTACGTCTTGAGATTTCTGGATTGGAATCTCAGTAGCATCAAGGATAACTCGAGTCCTTGGAAATTTTCTTTGACAATCTACTGGCATATGCTTATCCACAATGTCTCTTGATGGGCAAATATTTAATTCCTTCAGTTGAAAATAAAGGAAGTTAATCCAGGTATTAAAAATCCTAGCAATGGTAGAAACAGATAAATTAATTAGCAAGGATAATTCTACATCTTCTTTAGCACATCTGAGTTTAATCAATGTTATAAATAGCTGATCAGATGGATGAAGGCTTGAACATTTATATTTGAGCTCATATGCAGCAGGACCTAGTGCATGGAATAAGAACATGAAATGTTCATAAGATTTAAAACCTGTATAAAATGAAACTGCCTTTGAATTGTCCATGAAATTCTCAATCGAATATCGTCCAAGTAACTCACACTGGATCTCCATGTCCTTGGGTACATGTACATGTACCAAGTAACTCACACTGGATCTCCATGTCCTTGGGTACATGTACATGTACGTCAGGCTCTGAAGGTAAGGAAATATTGGTACTATTCTGTGTAGACTCAACTTCAACCTCTTGTTGTATTCCTTGGTCAAGAGCTTTGTCCACACTCATAGCTTTTCTCGATTGCATTCTTAAAGCTCTAGGGCTTACAATATTTATTTTGGGACGAAAGCTAAACACTGATGGTACTGCATCTATCTTTAGTCTACTTCGATCACCTGGAAACAAAGCATGAAACTGATCTTAAAAATATTAAACAAATGTGCTTGGAAACAATTTTTTTTATTTGGGCAATAAAACTACCGCATACATTTATTCTGCTTTATTTTTTGTTAACATTGCAGTGGGGATAGTACATGTATAACTATACATACATTTTATAAATAATAATTAAGGCCAGGCTTATTAAGATTTTTTTTAATAGCGTTTAACAAGAAATCTTTGTTCAACATGCAATCACACTTATTGAGTAAGTTGGTCTATGACAAATAACCAAGACTCCATGTTGCAGATGTGACCTATAATTGGTTGTATTTACAACTTAAGTAACTTTGTTGTGTGAGTCAAGGCTCCATGTTGAAGGCTGTACTGTGAACTTTATGCATAATTGCTTACGGTTATACTTTATGTATTCAATGGAGGGTACGTAGTCCCATTGGCAATCATAATACCACATCTTCTTAGGTTTAAATTATTTCAATTTGTGCTTCATTAACCCTGGAGTGAATATATGCATGTAGTAAAACAACACATTGATAACAAACAGCTAATTTTAAATTATGAGCCACTTACATTTTTTACATACATTTGTAACTCCCATTTACATCAAGTTAACTGAAAGTAGGAGATGGCAGTTAATTTTTTTTTTATTTATCTATGAAATTCTGAAATTATTTTGACCCCAATTTTCTATTGTTATGATCATATTATTATTAAAAAAAATAAGGAATTCTTTTTTATCTATTAAATAATGCCTTACTCACATTCTCTTTACTTGTAGTTTTCCTGAAAATGTAAAACGAAACCACAAAGCAACACAAACTTTATAACACAAATTCATGCTAAAACAATAACAATTTTTTTTAGAAACAATGTCAGTCAGCTGTGATAATGATTGTGCCCAATACATGTGATCCTTGAATATTTACAGGTGTTTAGGAATAATATTTATAAAAAAAATATACATTGTTATATTAGAAATGGTAAAACACAAGCTTGAACAGTTGGTATAACTTGATATCAATACAAAGCTACTTACATGTATGCTGCTAGTTTTACAGAAAAAAATGATAAAATTTACCTAATAATGTCTCCTTGTAATCATTTGCTGTAAAATGTTGATGGCAAACAATGTCGTGTTTTCCCGGTTTCCATAGACCTTTGGTAGGGATAGATCTTTTTAGGGCAACCCTCCACTTCAGACACAGCTCAGGATTTAAAGGGAATTTGTGACCGCCACTCACAGAACATCCTGGGACACAACATCTTGTTGGTATCTTGTTATTACGTCAGGACGTTAGGGACCGCCATACATTTTCATTAGATACAAGCGCCTTACTGATAGAAAAAACGCTCAGGTAACCACCGCTAATTTTCCGGATGAAATTGGTGATTGTTAACCATTATATATGTAAAAGATTTATAAAAAGAAAAATGGTGGTTAATGGGCAAAATTTTTTAAGTCATTCAAATGGATAAAACCAGAGGATTCCGAAAATCTGACAGAAATTCCAAAACATGACAAGCGAACATCCTTAAGATAAACGTGCACGTCAGTACTCTTAGATATCTGTTTTGTCATCATGTCAATTGTTTTCTGTGCATCGTGCTGATCTGATGAGTCATGTCATTTTCAAATAAATTTAATACTTATTTTGTGCTGTCACATCACTGTCTCAGGGTACGGGGAAGGAGTCTGCAATCACACATATGGCTAACACTGTGTCATCCTGTACGTGCCTTTTGTCAGTAGGGAGCATGTTAAACAAAGCCTGTCGTTAGTTGCTGTCTGTAATATTTGTTTTTCATTTATTGTATTGTTTTTTTTTTTCATTTTTTGAAGTTTTTGGTTTTGGAGACACAAATGATGACCCCTAAAATGCAAAGTTTTATTTATAAATACACAAAGTTGATCATGGGGGAACATATGCATATGGTTCACTGTAGGAGGAGTTATCTGTAAACGCTATGCACTGTATACTAAAATAATGGCAAAGTTCAACTCTTTCCAAAATCGCAAATTTTGATAAAAATCAAACATATGACCCTGATCACTTGCACACCTAAAATATATGTACAAACAGCCAGCAAAGTGAAAATTGCATGCCTAATATTCAAACTGTAGGAGGAGTCATCCGGAAACGCTATGCAACTCTTATCCAAGAAAATACTCCAAAAAAATTACAAAGTTCAACTATCTCCCAATGTCCCAAAAGAGGAATTATTGATAAAAATAAAAACCCTGAGTGACCATAAACACAAACAGCCAGCAAAGTAAAAACTTCCTAGCATTCAAACTGTAAGAGAAGTAACATGGAATAGCTATAAACTCATAATGACACGGACGGGCGGACGGAAGGACATACAGACGGGCAGGTGTAAAACAATATATGATGCGGGGGCATAGAAACAAAAACTTTTTCTTAATGCCATTTATTGGTCATGATGAAAATTCTGTCCCTGTTAATAAAATTCCCAAGACTAAATCTAAATATTAACTTAAAAAGCCATTTATCAGTAAAGTAAGGAAAATTGATACAAATATTTCAAATTTTACTTACTTGAAGAACTTATTCAAGATATCATTCAATGATGCTTTGACAAAGTTATAGATATCAAAAGAAAACTAAAACCTCAGACTGTATCTTAATAAACTCATCATAGATACCAGGCATAAAATTTTGAACGTTTGACGCACGGTGAGTCTTCAAAGAATCACCAGTGACGCTTGAATCAAAAAAGTTGTAAGACCTAAATAAAGTACAAAGTTGAGTATTGGGGACCCAAAATTCTATTCACAAAATTAAAAATCCTTAGTAATTGGAAAAATTCAGTTTTGTAAACAGTTAATTTTACAATAACATTAGTGTAAACGAAAACTGACAACAGTAAAATATTGAAAAAAATAAAAAAAAATTTCTCTGGATGCTGTCATTGTTTAGAATTTTTTTTACGTCTGTCAGTTAAATAAATTCTGTGACGGTTAAAGAAAAATGTTGACGTTTTAAAAAAGAAAATAACCAAGGGATGATTCTAAATGTCGATGACACGACTAGAGAAGGATAAGTTTAGTTTCAAAACAATATTTTATTTTTCAAAAGTGCACACATTACAATCATGCAATAGAAATACAGGGATTGCGAAACAAGAACTTAAATAAATCCGTTCCCCATAGAAGGATTGTTATGTCTAGATTTGGCGATTTTAGTTGCAGGCTAGACACATAGAAAATTGTAAAACTGGAAATATTAAAAATGTCAAGATTTTTTGGGTGTAAGACATCTTTTTGTAGTGAATTTTGAACTACTTTAATTTTCAAAACTTGTGTTGGATTTTTGACACCATTATTTATACAAAACATTTTCAAAGTGTGCCTGTGCTACGATAACATTAAATTCAATAGCTTCTCGAGTTTTATTCCAGTATACAAAAATTATTTTACAAAATCAGTCATTCCTTATTCATATTTATATTGCAGATCATTAAATATAAGAATAAAAAACTAAACACAAATACTCTGTTTTCAAATATTTGCATTGCGAAAACTTAAAAAAAAAAAAAGGGGTGGGGTGTCTTGTGTATATAAAATTCAAAAGTCAGAAGATTTTGCCACTAGCTGATTCTGATAACAATCTTTTCGTGTGGAACAACACTTTTACAATAAATAGTACACATGTGGTAATTTCTGGTCAGTCATTTACATATTGTGGTAATCAGAAGATTTTCTGCTGTGATGACAAATACACAAGTGTTTAAATAAATGAGTTATCAATAATTTGTTAATGGGATAATGTTCTTGCTATTATGCTGAAGAAACTGTGCTTTGAACTTTTAAGAAAAAGAATTGCAGGCATTTCGTATGAAGTACAAATAATAAAGTCTTAAATCTCTGAAGAAATGAAAGGAAACTTTATTAAAACGGAATGTCACGTAATTCCTATAAACTAGAATAGAAAATGAAACATACTGTTTTTTTTTCAAAATAGCCTTCAATAAAACAAAAAAAGGATGAGGTTAATTTTATGAATAATTAACGCTGTACAGAAATGCTCGACCATCTTTGTCGTTAGAAACAAGCAAATATTTGAATTTGTTGTTGAAGGAAACTGCCCAAGGAGAACCACATAAGTCTGTTTGCGACAGGAGTATTTTGTGCTTTGTGCCATCAGCGGATATCACAATAACGTTGTTTGATTCGACCCCGGCTACGATGGCATTTCCGTATTCATCTACTGCGATACCTCTTGGTTTTTTTAGAACCTTTTCGTCCGTAAATGTCCATACAATATCCCCGTTTCTTTTATGACAAACAATCGTATTCGTATCTTTCTTTACAGAGTAAAGAGTGTTGTTTAATTCGGTAATACTTCTTGACACCACCGTACTGACAATATCATCTGTCTTGTTATCTTCCAACCGGAATTCTTTCATTTGTCCGTTCTCGAGGCATACTATGAAGGTACCTTCAGTGTAAATTAAGCAAAGAGCAGGGTCAGACGTACTGATATTTTTGATTGTTTTCCCAGATTTCAGACTAATTAGTTCAATATTTTTCTGTGTATATGATATTACGGCAACAGTTTCATTGTCAACACATGTAACATCAATGATTGTTTGCATGATGCTGCTAATTTTATTCTCTGTTTTTCCGTCAGCTGCAATCAATATCAAATACGAAGGATCATAATTTGACACTATGAAGTTTCCATTTGGCAAAATACAACAGCCTGACACATTGAAAGCATTTGTGTTCATTTTTGTTTTTAATTCCAGTGTCATATGCTCTAAAGAACTTGTAGATTTTGCATTCTCTTTTATGATTTGAGCCTGACCAAGCATCCGTCTTTTTAATGATAATTTACTAGGCATGACATGCACGTCAAATTTTCCAAACTTAGTTCTTTCGTTGATTATATTATGCAATAAAGTGTTCAAGTGGTAAGAAACTACAGTTTGAGACAAATGGTTACCGTCAATCCAAGACTGCAAGTCGTTACTTGTTTTATTTAGTTTGGTTTCTAAATTCGTTATTCCTAAAAATGTTTGCATATCTGTTGCATGTTTCTTGATGCTTTCTACATCTTGTATCCATTCCTCGATATCCCTTTGGTTTGTAGTCAAGGCCATAATGAAGCTCTGTATTTCTTTAGTTGAATTTTCTACAGCTTTGGTCAGTTCAGCAACAAAATGGTCTTGTAATTTATCAAGATGGTGATTAATCTGCTGTCGAGTCACAGAAATCTCGGATTCGATTCTCTCTATTGAATACATATTCATTCGTCTGTCTTCCAGAATAAGAGCAACGTTCCCCTTCATTTCCTGAAGTGAGGACACGATTTCTGTAAAAGCTACAGATGTTTTAACATTTTTAACGACATCTGCAAGGGGGGATATTTCTTTGCATTTTCTGTGCTTTTCTGAAATAACACATTTTCTACAAGCACATTCGTTATGTTCTTTGCAAAACAATAAATATTTTTCATCGTGCTCATCGCAGTGCAGTTTTATGTTTTCAATAAAAGCTGGCAGCGTTTCATATTTACCAATAGGAAAAACAGTGTGGTTTCGTGAGGCCTTAGAAAAACTATGATGTTCTCTGCATTCTTGGCACAATCCTTCGTTACAATCAGAGCACCAAACAACAGAAAGCTTCGAAATATGTCGCAATTCACAAATACAACAATTTTCAAACGAGGTAGCCATACCCTGTAAACAAACAAACACTTTTTAAAAAAAAATATTAACAATCCCATATGGTCTTATATAAATTTATATTTCATAACAAATATAGATTTATTGATTGTGTATGTGTCCAATACTTTTGTCCTATGCCTTTTTTATGCAGATGAATGCAAATTTTGCCATCGCCGTGGAATATGCACATCTATATCTTACCAACCCTCTGTGTCTAAGTTGTATTTTGTATTCTATATTTGTCTGTGTTATTATTCATAGGAATATCTGACACACTGCGGGCTTTTTTAAATATGGCATTTCATTGCTTATGCCTTTATAAGGAAGAATAATGCATTACTATGTTTCAGAGTATTAAGTGTTCAGAACAAACAGAGAATCTTAAATTTTGACCGAATCTGTTTGAGGCCATCTTTAAAATTGAGTATGGAAATGGGGAATGTGTCAAAAAGATAACTACCTGACCAAAGAGCAGAAAACAGCCGAAAGCCGCCAATTGCATCTCTACATGGATGTAGAAAAAAATTTCACGAGCAGAACATTGACAGAAAATGACAGCATCGATGATATTTATTATAAGCACTAAAAGGATTTACTACCAAGCTGGTGATAACTCTAGTAATATCTGTTGTAAGTTTAATATCAAAATAAAAAGATGTTGTATGATTGCCAATGAGACAACTCTTCACAAAAGACGAAATAAAATCGTACCTTTCTAAATTTTACAGACGCCATCACGGTTGACAGTTATGGAAGATTCGTTTCACAGATGATAGCGGATATGTTCCAAATATAAAAAAGAAGATGTGGTATGATTGCCAATGAGAAAACTCTCCACAAGAGAACAAAAAAACACAGAAATTAACAACTATAGGTCACCGTACGGCCTTCAACAATGCAAAAAGCCCATACCGCATAGTCAACTATAACAGGCCCCGAAATGACAAATGTTAAACAATTCAAACGAGAAAACTAACGGCCTAATTTATGTACTAAAAATTGAACGAAAAACAAATATGTAACACATCAACAAACGACAACCACTGAATTACAGGCTCCTGACTTGGGACAGGCACACACATACAGAATGTGGCGGGGTTAAACATGTTAGCGGGATCCCAACCCTCCCCTAACCTAGGACAGTGGTGTAACAGTACAACATAAGAACGAACTATAAAAATCAGTTGAAAAAGTCTTAACTCATCAGATGAATAGATACAATCCTGTTCCCTTTTCCCCGAATGTGACCTTCCGAATTTTAATTATAATCGGGTTTGTAATAACATGAGCAACACGACGGGAGTCACATGTGGTGCAGGATCTGCTAACTCTTCCGGAAATGGCCCTTAATTTTTTGATGGGGTTCGTGTTATTCAGTCTTTAGTTTTCTATGTTGTGTTTTGTGTATTATTGTTTGTCTCTTTATCATTTTCTTTTTTAGACATGGCGTTTTGTTAGTTTATTTTCGACCTTTGTTATCCGTACTATTAGTACTTTGTCATTTTCTGAACATCCACCAAATAAAAAGAACCCCTTGTCTTTGATTAGATATGCCCAGGTCAGATAAACAAGACTATATGCTACAACAATTTCACTGTAAAATACTAATCATGACACTATTTTACAATGGAATACTGCAAATGACATTATTTTTTCTGCAATACTGTCCGTGAAAATATTTCCTTTTGAAATAATTTCCTCCCCGAGACTCGTCCGCCATAATACTATTAGAGTGTTCTACATATTTTGAAATATTGTCCATGAAATGTATTTCATAACCATGCAAGCTGCATCTAAATGTCTGCAATACGGAAATATTTATTATGTATATCTAAAAATACTGTTAGGCAAATACATATTTCAACAAATACATATTCCAACATTAAAACCTTTTAAATGGGAATTTATAGTTAATGAATATAACTGTTTCAAATATACTTGTTTTGTTTTAATCAATAACATTAAACACGTTTATTAAATGATATCTATGTCTATAATTTCCCTTTAGTGAGACGACATTCATGAAATATTTTTCGAGATATAGACAAAATCTAATTATGTTTAACTTCCCTATAACGACGCGTATTTCATTCTAATCAAACTATGAAATATTGGCAGTATGCATAGACAAATTTTAGTAGGAAATTGTCCTTGTCTGGACTTTATTTCATAGACGGAGACAAAATATGATGATCAATAATAATGAAATTTTGTCCTGAGGGATATTTTAAAGACCAATATTTTACTTTATATATACTTACGTAAAGTTTTTGTAGGACTTTATTTGAAATTTAGGCAACTAAGAATAAGATTCATTCGATAAAATAGGAATACAATCTAAACCAATCTGTTTTTTTTTTAAATTATCGGCCTGATGCGGAAGAGGATATTATTAATTTTAAATTTCGGTAACATGAATAAATAGTCTAGTGCATGGTAGGTTCGGCAGGTATACTAGTTCAAAATGAAAAGTGATTTAAATTGATTAATAAACTCGTTGAATTTAAAAAAAGGCATATTTTACTGTTTATCTTAAAAAATAAAACATTACATACATCTCAAAATAAACTTGAATAACATATTTGGGTGACAGTTGAAAATCTTCTGGACTTCACTCGACCTAATGTACAATGTAACCCATCCGGATATATATTCTGGAATGAAAGATTTGCTTTAAATAAAATTGAGAATGGAAATGGGGAATGTGTCAAAGAGACAACAACCCGACCAAAGAGCAGATAAAAGCCGAAGGCCACCAATGGGTCTTCAATGCAGCGAGAAATTCCCGCACCCGGAGGCGTGCTTCAGTTGGCCCCGAAATAAAAAATGTATACTAGTTCAGTGATAATGGACGTCATACTAAACTCCGATATATAAATAAAAGAAACTAAAATTAAAAATATACAAGACTAACAAAGGCCAAAGGATCCTGACTTGGGACAGGCGCAAATATTTTGAGATCTCAACTCTGCCCCTATACCTCAAGCCAATGTAGAACACACACTCCATTATCTAGTATATTATAAGAGCATAAACCTGAAGCACGGGGAGGCACTCTACTGTCTCCACACAGCACTAAAGACAAACTCTTTAAAAAAAATTTAAAACCTGTTTTTCGTATCCACTTCACACGTATTTGTAATAAAATAGCATTTATTAAGCTTTTGTACATACCTTGAATGAAATCAAACATACAACCATTAACTGTTAAAAAATAAGGAAATAAATTATACGTCATTTTCCTGTAATCACGTGAACATAGAATAGGTTAGATAATTTTTAAAACATGAAAAATAACAATAGGAAGTTCAAAGTAACATAGTTATCTGGCATATTTGGTTTCAAATAGAAATAGCAACTGGTTACAAACAATTTCAAACTAAAATTTAAATTAAAAAGATAAACCGAAGGCACCAATGCATTAAACTTTAATGCTCATCTGGATTAATATTCTGTATTGTATCCAAGTTTTCAAGTAATGACAGTTGGTAGCTTTTAGTGTTTAATAATTAATTTTGTAAAATAAGAAAAGGGTTATTTATTTGTACTCTCCTAAAGAAGTTCTTTTATATATGTGATGTCGTTTTGTCGAATTGCAATTAAAGATATGTAAAATGGAATTAAAGTGGATGTTTTAAAAAAACATAAAACATTATTTTCGGAAAATATTGCTAATTTTTATTTTCTTAAAAACGGACGGTAAAACGCGAACCCGAGACAGCTGAAAGGCCAGCAAAAAATTGGTGCTGATTTTTTTTGTTGCTTTTTGATAAGAAATTTACAAACTGGAAATAAGGTACTTGTTATACATTATATGGTACGCTACTGACCCCCTACAGATCCATAGAGGGTTAATCCATAGAAGCTTTATTGCATATGTTTTAATGAATACATTAAAATTGAGAATGGAAATGGGGAATGTGTCAAAGAGACAACAACCCGACCATAGAGCAGACAACAGCCGAAGGCCACCAATGGGTCTTCAATGCAGCGAGAAACTCCCGCACCCGAAATTAAGAGTTGTCAAACTGTTTATCTTCTTGCACACGTCAATGAAAAGCACTGTTGGATCTTAGTTCTTAATAAAACAAAAATGTAAACATCTTCCAATAAATTTTCTCTTTTAAGGATTTACTTTTTTATTCTTTATTACTCGGAGTATTCATCGATTTTTCTTTGTCTAGTATACAAAGTCCTTATATCCTATTATAATTTCCAGTTTCAGCAGGGGATGTCCAAAAAAGAAGATACGTTAAAACATTTGAGATAAAAGTACCCAATTTACTTTATAACCTATATGAATTTCTGTAATCGTTTATTTCTTCATACGTTATTCCTTAGTTGCACTTATATATTGCTTAATCGGTATTGGAACTCATTATGTAAAAGTAAGTCTAAGGGAATATGGGGTATGAAGACAGTGTAAGTGTTAAAGTCTGTAGAAGTCACATTGGACTGTTGAAAGGGGACTTTCGTATTACTGATTTCAATTCTCGACACGCAAGAGCTCTACATTTGACTTTGAAGCATGATCAGCATTGATGCATGGTGACCACTAGTGGTTTCTTGTTTGTGTTGAGTAACTGTCCTATTGATTTATTCTCAACATATCCTTTTATATAAATTGGTTGTTTGAGAACGTTCAAGTATTCACAAAACGCCAAGATATTCTTTAAAGCCAAGTTTATATCTGTAGAATATTTGGTATTAATAATGTACCTAATTATTCTATTATCATACATCAGAAATAATAGATAATAGAGTACAAGATAATAATTGAATTATGACATGGATAGAACACCATAATGAACAGAAGATGAGGCAAAATTACACGGAAAGCACACATTGGCCCTCCACATTTATTCAAAATAAGAAAATGAAATGTGGCATGATTTCAAATAAAGAAGAAGAATCCAAAAGAGAAAACGATAAAGTATGTATCTATTCGACGTTGCCGTTTTATGACAATATTTTAGTTTAAAATACAACAATCAGGACAAGAAATGGTTAAAGGCAACATTGATTTGTATAATGGTCGACTCAGTCCCACCAAGACCATCAAGTTGAATATGACAGGTGATATTTGATAGTCAATGCCAGTATTGATGAATCATTCTTAAATACCTCTATATTCCAGAAGAGAGAGAGAGAGAGAGAGAGAGAGAGAGAGAGAGAGAGAGAGAGAGAGAGTAAAGCGTTATCACGATTGATCACCAATAATCCCTGTTTTAATACTAATGGTATTAATGTAGCAACATTTTTTATTACAATATAACTCTAATTGAAACATTACAAATATGATTGTATAGGGAAACTGACTAAATGTCATGACCGGAAACTATTTTTTTGAGGCAATGACTATTAATAAAACTCTTGATGGGTTTATTATAAAATCTCGATAAACAGGAAACCGGAGATTTTGTCAAATGTAACTGTACTCGAAACATATAAAACATGAAAAGGTAACTGATAATATTTCATGACCAGAGATTATTATTTTGAGCCGAAAACTTAAGATTTGAATATGTAATCTCGGAAAAATGGAAACTGGAAAATTTGTTCAATGTAATATAAATTTTTTTTTGTCAATATTTTCCCAAGTGGATACTGAATAAGTTGATATATTTTAAATCTGTCAGGACAAACAATATCTATGATACATATCTGAGTCAAAAGCTTCCTTTTTGAAAAAAACTATATAACTGGAAAATTGGATAAAATGAATATGAATCTGTCGAAAACTTTGATGTAAAGATTTTTTTTAGCTATAGATAGAACTTAAATTTCGTATAGGTATGTATAAGTTGTCCCAGAGGCTGAAAGAAGAACGGTTGTTTAAATCGAGGTAAATAAACTGTTTATTATTTTTCTATTATGCAGATTATAGATGATAAATTCAGATACAAGGGGTGACATTTTATCTGTAAGATAATCCAGCCAGTGATTATAAATTTGTATGTATATAAAAATAAGGAGATATGGTATGATTGGCAATTACAAAACTGTCCATCAGAGTTTAAAATGTGGATGTTAACAACAAGATATCAGCCTATGTGGGCCTTCAACTACGAGCAAGCAAACCCAAAAAAGGTCTCGACATGCAAAAACGTGAAACAATTCAAATGAGAAAAACAAACGACCTGATGTATGACAAAACAATACACGAAACGCAAGTATGACAGACAGCCTTTAACGACAATTACAAAATTAGAGGTTCCTTACTTGGGACATACACAAATAGAAAGTGTCGGGCTAATTAGATATAGGAAGATGTGGTATGAGTGCCAATGAGACAACTCTTAATCCAAGTTACAATTTATAAAAGTAAACCATTATAGGTCAAGGTATGGCCTTCAACACGGAGCATTGGCTCACACCGAATAGCAAGCTATAAAGGGCCCCAAAAAATTACTAGTGTTAAACCATTCAAACGGAAAAACCAACGGTCTAATCTATATAAAAACGAGAAACGAGAAACACGTATGAACTACATAAACAGACGACAACTACTGTAATCAGATTTCTGACTTAGGACAGGTGCAAACATTTGCAGCGGGATTAAACGTTTTGAACATGTTTGTTTGTGCTCAACTAACCAGGGACACTGATGTAATATCACAACATAAGAACAAACTGTGTCAGTGTTATTCCTTTTGCAACCTCTTATGTTGTTTATAATTCGTTCAATATGCCTGTGTCTGTAGTTACGTTTTGGATTTAAATGAATGTTATCTATGTATTACTGGTAAATTATTAAGTCAGGGATATCGTTACCACAAATTACTTAAAACATTTACTAAATTCTACCATAGATATCAAGATTTGGGTTTGAAGTTTGGATGTGGAAAACTTATTTTAAACGAGATAGCACATCTTAATTTTTACGGAGATGTTTAGATACGATACGGGTAAACTTATCGATCCTACAAAAACAAACGTATTCTTAAAGGTTACCAATTCAACCCGACTTTCCGGAAAATTATCTTAGTTAGTAATTTAATACTTAATATTTTAAAAGTTTTTCTAAAACTCGTATCAAAAAATCTTATTCTATATACAGTTGTGTACCTTAAAAGAGAAATTGCTATTTTATTAATTCATATTTAGTTACAATATAATTAATTCATTTTCGCCATATTGTATGGAATTGGAATGCGGTGAATAGATTAAATGTGCCCATAAACAGTAATTTGTACTTTCATAATTTTTTATTAAACATTTTCTTGGTGCTAGTTTCTTTTTGGCTGAATGAATAAATCATTGTGCGTGAGGTATGGATAAAATGAAAAAGAAAAATATTTGTACATACCTAAAATGCAATCAGTCATAACACCATTTACTTTAGTCAAATAAGACAAATTTGTAGTAGGAAGTACATAATATTTAATTTTCTAATCAGGTGAACATTGTGAAATAGCAACATATCATATAGTTTTAAAATAACTTAACAAAACTATGCACTTTAAGCCCATAGAAGCATAGGAATACAAACAATTAAACCATGTACAAGAGACGGTGTTGCGTTCTCTTGAATGCGGTCCTTAACGATATTTCCTTTTCTGACGGGGATGGTTCTATTGTTCCTTCGTACGATTTGTATATTTCCCAACTCGTTTGCTTTGCCCGTGTCTGTAAATAAAACTGTATTGACGGCTTGAATTTGAATAAATGTAAGGAGTTACAGCTTTATTCTGGATAAGTTTTACACAGGAAATGAAGTGGGTCTTAACAGATTATGGCTTGAAATGTCGTCGTTGGCACAGCTTTTCTGAAGAGGTACATGTATATGGCATTTACTGATCTGCAGTAAATAAAAGAAGGGATTTTCCTATATACATCGTCTCGTGGTGCATACTGAAGATAAGTCGCAATATCAATTATGCAATGTCATTTGCAGTATACCTCATAATTAACTTAACTTATAATATCTGTACAGATTTCTCCTCAAGTCATCAACATCTTATGCCTTCATTTTGCTCAATGTCAACATATACTTGCTTAATGTATTATTATAAGATGTTGTTTATTTTGTGTTTTATGTTTGTTTATTACATGTTTATTGTCTAGATTGAATATATCGTTTAAAATTATATTGTTTATGTGTTTTATGCCCTGATGGGGACGTAATTTGGTGAATATAATTCAGCGTTCTATTCTATTGTATAGCATCAACATTTTAAGCAGAATTGAGCAAGAAAAAAAAAATGTAACCGTTTGGTATTTTTTGTCAAATAGAGCGAGCCTCTCAGGAAAATTGTTTTTTCATATTCATTTTGTGTTCTGCCAATTATAGGTTGTACTGATCATGTCGGAA